TATTAGGGTTGTAGGTTAGGAGGTAGTTGATTCTTGCCTTACTTCGTACCTTTGTGAGACTAGTCTGGTATGATTTTTGTCTAAGACAGTGTTATAAATAGTGCTCGCCTCAGCGCTAATAGCTTGAGGCGAGGCGAGGCGAGCAGCCTGCGCTATTTTGCCTCTGTTGCATTGCGATTATAAAAGGCGAGCGCCTTTGCTTGGTTGGACCTTAGGTTAGATTGATGGGATTAGTCACGTGGCAAGTCTCGAGTGTAATTGGAATTTCAAATGGAGCCATTCTGATTTAGTGAGCATACGTTGGAAACATACAAGTGAAACACTAGTTACAACTCATAATGAATTGGACCCAATTTGTCTTGAGACAAGCAGATGAAAAACTTGGGCCACGCTGTGGATATCTCTATTTCGAACAGCAAGCACAGAGAATGGGCTCTCAATGATAATTCAAGAACCCAATTGGACTCACTTCAGCCGGAAATAGAGGCCATTATTTACACAAAAAGATCAGGTGAAGCTTTTGTAACTCCACTGTCAGAATCTTCGGTGCAGGTGTCAGAACCTTCTTCCAGTTCCTTTCTCATCATAACAGAGAAGGTGACAACATCAATTAGTTCAATACCATCACAAATAGACGATGATGCTATGACTATTATTTATTGTGCAGATGTACAAGAAATAAGTCATAGGAGGAACGAAGCATTACAAATTGTTGAGGCAGAGCTTCCAAACATAGCATGGCAAGAGGAGGAAGCTGCTCTTTGGAGAATCAAACGGAAAGGCAGAACTAGATGCTTTCAAAAGAACATGATAAAGCTGAGCAGATAATATAGGACCAGAATTCCAGGGGGGTGACACTGAAGTTTTCTCTGTACATGAAACTTGATAGAAGAAGACAAGATAAAAGAAGAGATTGCTGCCTATGCACTCCCAGCAATTCCGAGTTAAAAGGTGAGTATGAACTCAAGAGACTACTATTGGGTGTTTTTAAAAGCGAAAAGTGCAAAAAACGACAAGGTCCATGGGGCTTGATGAGAAAAGAGAGATGGGTTTATCTAGTTCTATCTTAGGAGACCTAGCTTAATCAAATAAAACTTCAGAATCTGGAAAGTAGCCATACAACACATCGACAGCTGGGACTTACTTCCAAGAGCATCTTATAGTGCTTAGTTAGCAAACTTAACTAAATGGATTAACACCAAGGAGAGCTTCTATGAATTAATTTACAAGCCGCTCCATATCTAAGCAAAAAGCATAAAACAGCTCTTAATGCGGTGTTTTTGGCAGCCAGATAAATTCTTATCAAAGCCTCAAGGATTCACGAGTATTGACTTGGATGAATAGCTGCTCTAGAGTGGACATTTCCATTTGCTAACTAATATCCAACAATGTCAAAGACCTGCCTAACTAAAGCGGCTCTAACAAATATCCAACAATCTCCTTGTGGAATTAATATCACACGAACCATTAAACCGAATGGGAGTCCGTCTGCCACAGTAGAGAGAATGACTTGACCTTACCAAATAACATAAATGCCATAGAGGTCGGCCTAAGAAGTATTGGGGAGAGGTGATCAGGCAAGATATGGCGAGACTTCAGATTTCCGAGGACATGACACTTGATAGGAAGATGTGGAGGTCGAGTATTAGGGTTGTAGGTTAGGAGGTAGTTGATTCTTGCCTTACTTCGTACCTTTGTGAGACTAGTCTGGTATGATTTTTGTCTAAGACAGTGTTATAAATAGCGCTCGCCTCAGCGCTAATAGCTTGAGGCGAGGCGAGGCGAGCAGCCTGCGCTATTTTGCCTCTGTTGCGTTGCGATTATAAAAGGCGAGCGCCTCTGCTTGTGTGGCAAGAGGCGATGTGTAGCGAGAGGCGAGCTGTGGCGTCGCTTTTTGAAAAAAAGTACAAAAAAGGCGCAGATTAGGGCTTAAAACATTAGCGCTTGCAGTGATTTCACGTTTCTTTCTTCTTTAACCTTCAAACAACAGAGCACCCAAGTCCACCCAGCTCAGGTAAGCTTCTCTTCTTCTTTCTCCTCTCTTTCTTTCTTTCTTCTTTTTCCTTCTTCTTCTCTTCTTCTTTCTATTTTTTTGCTCTGTTTTTTGCCGAGCAACAGTGCAGAATAGAGAGTCTGTCTGTTGCTCTATATCTTTTTGTTTTTCTTTTCTTCTGATCTTCTCTTCATCTTTCTAATTTTTTGCTCTGTTTGTTGTCGAGCAACAGTGCAGCAAAAAAAGGACAGTCTTTTTATTCTCTGTTTTTTTCGTTCTTCTTCTGGTCTTCTCTTCTTTTTTTGTTGCTCTGTTTTTTATTGAGCAGCAGTACTGCATGCTGTTTTTGTAGAGGCAGAGGCAAAGGCAGAGAATCAAACCTGAAATTTCCTCCTTTTTCAGTTATAGAGTAGAATTAATTGCATATTGTGAATTGATATATTTATTAATATATCATTGTTATTGAGTTTTTAGTTATATATATAATATTTTATTTTTTTGTATAAATTGTCGCTTCACATCAAAAAGGCGAGCGCTTCACTGCGCGCCTCTCGCCTCAGTGAAGCGGGCCCTCGTCGCTATTTGTCGCCGCACGCTATCCAAAATACTGGTCTAAGATAGCTAGTGGCAATGTTGTGTCTTACTATTTCGCTTTTCAGTGCAAGACCTATTTACTAGCTATCACTTTTGCTTTGCATTTTTCTTCTGGATTTCATGTTACTATTTTTCCTATGATTTCTCTAGTGATACTAATATTGTCTCCTTTTGTCTTTTTGTTTTCTTGAGCCGAGGGTCTTTCAGAAACAGTCTCTCTGCTCCTTCGGGGTAGGGGTAAGGTTGCGTACACACTACCCTCCCCAGACCCCACTAATAGGATTTTACTAGGTTGTTGTTGTTGTTGTTGTTGCGATAAAAGATGAAAACCTAAGTTGTAAGTAAGTGTTTACTGGTAAAAGATGGGCTACAATCATCAGAGGTCATGTAATAGCTCAAGAGGCATTAATAGGACAAACAACATAATACTTACAACCATCAGGTCTCTCAAACCTAGTTGCATACTCAACCTAAGATACTCCATTTTAGGATTTTATGGATATTCAAATATACTCCTTCTATGCACGGATTGCAAGGTTATCCCGAGTGAGAACCTTGCGAACTAGCATAGGCTCTTTGTGATCGACTTAAAGATCATGAGGAAGAAGAGGAAGAGGGTTGTGCGGGATCGACCGAAGATCAGGTGGGGAGTCTTGACTAAGGACAATGTTCGAGAGTTGGGAGAGAAGTTGCTGGCTATGGGGGCCTGGAGGAGTAGTGGGGACGCAAGTAGTATGTGGAATATGATGTCGAACTGCATTAGGAAAGCATCAAGAGAGGTGTTAGAGGTTTCGAAGGGTTACTCTAGAGGCAACAGAGGGGACTGTTAATGGAATGAAGAGGTCCAAGGAAAAGTGGAAGTCAAGAAAGCGACGTATTTGAAGTTAGTGGAGAGGATAGACGAGGAGGAGAAGAGGATGAACAGAGAGTGGTACAAGAAGGTTAAGAAGGAGGCGATGTTGGCAGTCACAGAGGCTAAGTCTGTTGCGTTTGGTCGTTTGTAAGAGAGACAAAAGTCCGTGACTTGGACCAAGTGAGGTGCATCAAAGACGGGGAAGGCAGAGTTCTAATGGAGGAGGCACCGAATAAACGAATGTGGCAGACATCCATAAACTCTTGAATGAAGAGGGGGACAAGAACATTGTGTTGGGTGATTTGGAGCACTCTAACAGACGTCGAGATTTTGGGTATTATAGGAGCATAAAAATTGAGGAGGTCGAGGGGACTATGCGTAAGATGAGCAGGGGCAGAGGGACAAGTCCAGATGAAACTTCGATGGAATTTCGAAAGTACATGGGTAGGGCAAGCTTGGAGTGGCTCGATGGGTCGTTTAACGCTATTTTTAAGACGAAGAAGATGCCTGAAGAATGGAGGTGGAGTATAATGATTCCGTTGTACAAGAACAAAGATGATATCCAAAGTTGCAACAACTATAGAGGCATCAAGTTGCTTATTCACACTATACAAGTTTGGGAGCGGGTGGTGGAAGTGAGGGTAAGGATGAGTGTCTATTTTCGAGAACCAGCTCGGTTTCATGCTGGGTTGTTCGACTACGGAAGTCATCCACCTTGTCAGAAAGTTGGTGGAGAAGTATAGGGAAAGGAAGAAAGATTTGTATATGGTGTTTATTAACCTAGAGAAAGCTATACAATAAAGTCTCAAGGGGGGGTTCTCTATGGAGGTGCTTAGAAGCTAGGGGTGTCCCTGTAGCGTACATTAGAGTGATTAAGGACATGTATGATGGAGCTAAGACTCGGGTGAGGACATCGGAGGAGACTCTGATCATTTTTTGGTTATGATGGGGTTATACCAGAGATCTACGCTTAGCTTGTTTTTATTTGCCTTGGCGATGGACGCACTGACACGCCACATTCAAGGGGAAGTTCTAGGGTGTATGACATTGTACTGACTGACGAGAAGAGGTGGTGTTAACAAGAACTTGGAGGTTTAAAGACAAACCCTAAAGTCTAAAGGTTTCAAGTTGAGCAGACTAATAGCTTGGTTGGTCAAACTTCTAAAATCAGCTTATTTTGAGAAGTGCTTTTCTCAAAGTACTTTTCAAAAAAAAGTGCTTTTGGTGAGAAGCAGTTTGTGTTTGGCTAATTGATTTGAAAAGTACTTTTGAGTAGTAATTAGTGTTTGGCCAAGCTTTTGAAAACTGCTTCTAAGTGTATTTTTCTCAAAAGTGCTTTTGGAAGGAAGCTACTTTTTTCTGCTTCTCAAAAACTGCTTCTGCTTCTCTTCAAAAGTATTTTTTTCCATCTAAAAGCTTGCCAAACACCTCAAATTTTGGCCAAAAGTGCTTTTAGCAACAAAAAAAAAACACTTTTGGACCCAAAAAAAGCTTGGTCAAACAGGCTATAAGACAGAATATTTGGAGTGCAAGTTCAGCGATGTGATAGAAAAAGCAGACATGGACATAAGGCTTGATTCACAAGTCATCTCTAAGAGAGAAAGTTTCAAGTATCTTAAGTCTGTGATTCAAGGAAATGTGGAGATTGACGAAGATGTCACACATCGCATCGGAGCGAGGTGGATGAAAGAGAGGCTAGCATCCGGCGTCTTGTATGATAAGGATGTGCCGCTGAAACTCAAAGGTAAGTTTTACAAAGTGGTGGTTAGACAGACTATGTGGTATGGGGGCAGAGTGCTGCCCAGTCAAGAATTCTCATATCCAAAAGATGAAAGTAGCATAAATGAGGATGTTGAGATGAATGTGTTGGCATACCAGGTTGGACAAGATTAGGAACGAAGATATTCTAGAAGGTGGGAGTGGCCCCGTGGAGGACAAGATGCGAGAAGCGAGACTGATATGGTTCGGGCATGTGAAAAGGAGAAGCCGAGATGCCCCTGTGAGGAGGTGCGAGCGAGTGGCTTTGATGGGTAGGAGTAGAGGTAAAGGGAGATCTAAGCAGTATTGAGGAAAGGTGATCCGGCAGGACATGGTGCAGCTTCAGTTTACCGAGGACATGGCACTTGATAGAAGGGTATGGAGGTCAACAATTAGGGTAGAAGGTTAATAGGTAGTCGAACGTATTTTTGTTCCATACCGATGGTTTTAGGGTTAGTCTAGTAGTTTTTCTTGTCCTAGATTGCTAGTAGTTCACGTTGTTTTCCTATTATCTTTCGCCTCGGTTTTTTAGTATTCTATTGTTGTTAGAGCTTGTTGCTACTATTGCCTTTTGTTTTTATTATCTTGGCCCTCTTAGTCTCTCTACCTTCTCAGAGTAGGGGTAAGATGTAGCGTACAGTGGTACTCCACTAGGTTGTTGTTGTTGTATGAATATTCAAATATATGTATAAAAAATATCTCAATCTACATGAGGAACTCGCAAATTATGCACCAGATCTCAAGCTTAAGTTTTTTGGGTCAAAAAACTCTTGCTTTTTCTCTTGGCGTAAAAAAAACATTGAATCTTCTGTCAATGTTCTTTTATAATTCCTCTAATTATTATTAGGATTAACAAAAGGAAGTTTAACATGCACTTCAAAGTGGCGGATTACCATTCATAACAGTGGAGATAAAAGGAGCTGATGAAAGTGATACCGGCATATGCAATGATGTTTCTATTGCTTTTCAACGGCAATTTGGCAAAAAAAGAGAATGCCAGGATCTGTCACACAGATAAAAATCCAACACAACAGTAAAATCTTGTGCAAACTAATTCCTCTATGGATCATTACTTTTTCTTCTCAAATTTCATTGTCTATTATACAACAGCAGAATCTCTCGTCAAAACAACAAGATGGACATTATGTTTAAATTTAAGTTCAAAAGAAGCTTAGATGTCAAACGGTTGAGAAAAAAGAGTACCTTGTGGGCAAGACCACTGTGAAAAAGCTTTCCGGTTACATGCAGTTTCCAAGGTATACTGCCACCAGTACCAATGCACGGCTGTTTATCTGCTGTATCGATCCAGAATCTATGTAGAGGAAGAAATATTACAAATAAATTCACTATTTCTCTGCAATGAATCTTGATACCTTAGCAAACAGTTACTTACAGAGGGCCTTGCTTTAACTTGTCAAGCAATCCACCCTTCACTAATGCATCCACACCAACCCCAGGGATAGATGAGTTCTCTTCACTGGCTATGAAAACAGCAACTACCGTGGATTTCAACTGTTGTTTTGTCTCTCCAAGCCGCCTCATAAGCTCCGCAACAAGAGCCACATGACCCAAACAATCAGTAGTTCCACGTCCCCGAAGTTTATCACCATCAATGCTCAATGAAAAAGGATCAAAATCCTGCATACAAAATTGTTTTACCATTATATGTGAGACCGTTGTCATTGCCGACTTATAAGGGAGCATAATTTACAACAAATTGTTAATTTGTGGAAGTAACACAGTAGTCAAAAAGCAAGAAAAGGTACAACATTCAAATTTAAACTATCACAGTGAATACAGACCCATTAGTCATAATAATTGAGCAGGAGGAGTGTTCCATGTGCTCCTCCAACTGAAATAATGAGCAGTACAATCTAACAGCATATTATATTACTTGAATGAAATAAGCTACCAGCTATGGGGCTCAATCAGCATCAATCCTTTTCCTTCTCTTGACCACAAGCATAATTCCCCCGCCCGCACCCTCAACTCCCCAAAGAAAATCTTAAGAAATAAATGGCAACTTAATTATTCAGCACAGATGCATTCAATATGGACACCTGGTGGTTTTTTAAATTAAACACCTCGTATTGAAATTATTACTGGAGAAAACAGCATAATATATCTGTACATTTTCCTGGATGACGTTACATTCCTAATACAACCTAAATTCCAAAATTCATTACACTTTTATACTAATAACATTATTAATTTGTACAACATTCAAAAATATAAATTAACTAAGCTAGTTAAATTTTAAACTGTGTTGTTAAGTTTTCTCTGTCAATCTGCTCTTCAATCATAATATTAATATTTTCTTCCACTACCATAAATATAATAAATACTTGATATAAGCCAATTTAAAATCTTTATACGCACTATTAGGTATCAAGCACAACTTAACACCAGAAGAAGAAAATACAGCATCAAAAGCAATCAAACAGAAGAAAAAGCAACCAACTTTACATCCAAAATAATGAAAGCAAGGGCTAGCAATATTAGACATTAACATACCCAATCACAAGGGTTAGCAGTGACAACATCCATATGCATACCAACAAAAGACAAGATATTTCCAGGCTGAGTACCCGGGTACTCCACAATAAGATTACCCCTTTTAGGCTTATAAGTAACATGATTGATGACAAGTGGGCCGCCGCCGGTGGTGGTGCTATAAGGAAGAAGGGTATCAAGAACGTGATTCACAATCCTGTCTTCCTCCGGGATTAGCTCCGGTGGGTTGTTCTGTACATATTTGGACTCACCAATTAATTTCCTCAAAAGGCTAATGAATGACTCTTTGTTCAGATCACCCAAAATCTGCTTTACAGTAGGCATGGTAGCTGTATCGTTGCGGTAAGTTGATGCCTTGTTTTTGGAACGGAGCAAACCTAGGAAGGATTTTTGAGGAGTTTACAGTAGCCATTAGTTGTATGGATCTGACAGAAGACGAAAGTAGCAAAGATGAGAACGTTAGAGGTGGATGTGCGGGCATACAAAAGGATGGATAAGATTAGGAATGAATATATTCGAGAGAAGGTGGGTGTGGCCCCAATGGAGGACAAGATGCGGGAAGTAAGACTCAGATGGTTCGGGCATATTCAGAGGAGGAGCACCGATGCACCGATGAGGAGGTGTGAGCGACTGGCTGTAGTGGGCATGCGGAGAGGTAGAGGAAGACCTAAGAAGTATTGGGGAGAGGTGATCATACAGGACATGGCGCGACTTAGGATTACTGAGGACATGACCCTTGATAGGGAATTATGGAGGTCGAGCATTAAGGTTGTAGGTTAGGGGAGAGTGTGAATATTTCTACGGCACAATAGAGTGAGACTATCCAGTTAGGAGTTAGACTAGGAATGCCATTGGTCGTCTATTGACGCAGGGTTTTACCTTCTAGTTGTATTATACCAGCCATCTATTTCGTATTTCGTATTTCGTATTCCGTATTTCATATTTCATATCTCTTATATATTGTTGTTATTTTTAATACGCATTTTTATGGTACTAATATATCATCTCCTATTGCTTTTTGAGTCGAGGGTCTCCTCGAAACAGCCTCTCTACCCTTCGGGGTAGGGGTAAGGTCTGCGTACATATTACCCTCCCCAGACCCCACTTGTGGGATTATACTGGGTTGTTGTTGTTGTTGATTTTTGAGGAGTTTGACGTTTCAACTAAACCTATTTTATTTATTTAATTACCTAATTGAGCTTAATAAATATTTCACTCTTGAGGGTCAAATCAAATAAACTTTGATTAATATTTTAACATATGTATCTTTTACCAAATTAATATTAAAATAAATTACAAATAATAATATTTTTATATAATTTTCGAATATCTAATTTAATTTTAAAATATTGAGATAATCTAATCTAGTTTAGTTTAATAGATTAGTTAAATTGTTTATGTTACAAGTAAATAGGAACAAAGAGAGTAGTTTTTCAATTTAAAACATGTGTTTTGGATAAACACAATCTATATCATAATAAATAATAATAATAATAATAATAATAATAATAATAATAATAATAATAATAATAATAATAATAATAATAATAATAATAATAATCTATATCTATATCTATATTTATATATATATATATATATATATATATCTATCTATCTATATTATTATAAAAGCACGAATAATTTATGCTAAATGTTGAACGACTAAAATATCCTTCTAACTTTGATAGACTTTTATGCCCTTAAATATTTGAGTTAAAGGTGGCTATAATTGTAATATTTAAAATATTACCCTAGGATGGAATTCTTTCCCATTTTAAACTCTAGATACACCGCGTGTAAATTACTACTCTACCAATATCCATAACTTTTATTCCAACTAAAAAGTGGTAACGTTGGAAATAATTATATGAACTTGAACAAACTTCTAATACCAATCTAAGTTCCAACTTTTCATCTGTATGTGTTTATTTAATGTGAAAATTTAATTATTTTTATAATGTATAGAGATAGACTTAATTATTTTCCTACTATTTAGCAATAGTCAGTTAATTACTTTCCTAATATACAGAACTTTAAAATTATCTAAAACTTTGGTTATTAAATATTTTCCTATTTGAAAATCCTATGAAATCCTAATATTTAGGACTAAAATTAATTAAATATATTTAGAAACTTATTTGACGTCAGCTAGAAGAAGAATAAGACAACTAAATCCCAATTCAATTCAGTTCCAAATTACAATTGTGATACTTTTTCCTATCAAATTCAAAAGACGAATTTCACGTGATTATTGAATTCTTAATTACGCAATAGATATAAAGCAAATGGAGATTAACATTACAAATATGTTACTCAAAAAAGAACTATGTATAAGAGTATATTATAATAATTTAAAAATATAATTTAAAGAATTTGAAGTCAAATATGAACTTTTCCATTTTTTTTTTGTTTCTAGAATATTTGACCTTACCAGTAGAGATTCTATATTGGACAAAATTATAATTTAATTATTTTTTTAATATTTAGAACTTTTAAATCAACTAAATTTTTGCTATTAAATATTTACTTATTTGAACTATGTAGGAAGTTCAAATATATAGAACTTTAAAATCCATTAAAATTTGACCTTATATAAATTATTTTTATATTTTAATTATGTAACATAACTATAATATTTTTCATATTATTTTATGTAATATTTAGTACTTTAAAATTAACTATTCACTACTAAAAAAATTAGGTTTTAGCGACGGACAAATTCTGTAGCTAAACAGAAAAATCCATCGCTAATCTCATTTCGTGACGGATTAGCAACGGATTATTAAGAAATTCTGCTAGCTACGAGCGTTTTAGCGGCAGATTAGTGACGACATTTGTAGCTAATTCCAATTTTTTCTGTAGTGATTATATAAGATAAGATATATACATTATGAAATTTAGAGACAGATATTAAATTGTATAAGGGGTTAAAAAGAAATATATCTATAATCTAGGTAAATTTACAAAAAAGGTTAAAAAATATTTCCAAAGTTTCAGACGTACGTAAATAAAAAAGTAAGCCAACTAATAATAGAATTCTAATGTAAATAATTCTAGGATTCTATGATTTCTTTTGGGAATTTTAGGAACGTATTAATTATTTTTCAGTCAATTGCTTTTTAAAAAGTTTCATATCTGCTTGACAATTAACACATTTTGTTAGGGAATGTGTTTTGGTGTTGATTCTAAAAAATAATTTTTATTCGTAAGGTTTTGGTTCTTTTATACCTTTTACGCGGTAAGTACTCCGAAAATCTTACTTCGATGTACCTCCACATCAATGTGCATTGGTGTAAGACACTAATTTCTACCCCAACTTAGTATTATGGAGAAAAAATTCATTCACATGGTAATATATCTTTCACACATCATTTGCATGAAAGACGATGCTTTCGTTTTGTATCTCAAAAAATTAATTTCAAATTCTTTCATAAATAATTGACTAATAATCTCGTGCAATGCACGAACGTAGAAACTAGTATTATTATAAAAGCACGAATATTCTACACTAAATGTTGAACAACAAAAATAACCTTAAAATATTAGCCGCCTATTATGCCCTTCCATAATTAAATTATATCTTAAACGTTATGCCTAGAAAAGTAAAAGCAATTCAAATATTGTAGAGTCCAAGTCAAGATATCATTCTTAGAGTCCAGTTCGTAAAGGAAAGTATTTGTCCATTCATTATTTGAATGGAAATTAAATTCTATATTCATTAACTATAGTTCTGTGCTGTAAATATTAAATCGGGAAGTTGATTGTGGATTGGAACCAAAACAAGTCAAATGTTAGATATATTTCAATTCTTCTGCGGAACCAAGTATAACAATCACCACAAATAGCAATCTTTACACCTCAGTTATCAAAGTTAATTTATTACATGACATGATCATAAATTTTGAATATATCTTCTCCATAAGTTTTTTTCGCATTCTCGAAATGATTTTAAATCTTTTAACATAACTCTCAAAATGTTCAATTCCATTTTTACTTTGTAATTGTGTCAAAATTTTATTAATGTGTTGGTTTCGATAATATATACTACTTTTTTAAACAGGATTATTGAACTTCATACATATTCAGTAATAAGTGACATCAAGTACTTATCGTAATAAAAAGTTTATTATTTCGATATGCATTTTATAATGTTTGACATAAAATATTTCATTGCCATAACTTTTGTACAATATGATTTCTTCGTATGTTAAAACAAATGTGTTTAAAATGTGCGATCAAAAAATTTAAAAAATTTAGACATAGAAATATATAATAGTTAAAACAAAGTAACTTCCAACGCAAAAAGAAAACATTAGGGCCACGAAGGCATGAAGTAGAGTTCAACACGCTTAACACATTAGTCTTTCATAAAGCTCTATGCTTAACTAAAGTAAATTATCGCTTTACAAATACTAGTGAATAATATTGTATTTTACAGCTTTAATCACATAACGTTCTGATTCTAAAATATTTTAATATATTAAGCCAAAAGCGTTATTGATAACTTGATTTGAATTATATATTATATTGCCTTTATTTTAAGAAATTGATTATTAAACTTCCTACTGTGTACATATTCAATAGTATAAGCAATTGAAAGTTTATTATTTTTTAATACGTATTTCTCGTGCTACGCACGAACATAGGGACTAGTTATATTAAAAGCACGAAGGCTCTTAGTGTCACGACTCAAAAATCTCTCCGAAAGAGTCGTGATGGCACCTAGTCTCTAAACTAGGTAAGCCTAACATTAACTGAAATAACATTGATATTTGCCAACTTTAAATTCAATAACTCTTAGCAATTTATAATTCCCAAAACCGGTGGTACAAGTCACAAGTCTTTCTAAGAGTAGTTATACAAATTAAATACATCATTGTTCCGAAACAAAGGGAACAATGGAAATAAGTGCAATTGAAGGTGACTCTAAGGACTGCGAACGCTGCAGCAGGTTTACCTTGAGTCTTCACCGCAACGAATAGCTACTATTGAACAAATACCTGGGTCTGTACACAAAAATGTACAGAAGTGTAGTATCAGCACAACCGACCCCATGTGCTGGTAAGTGCCTAGCCTAACCTCGGCGAAGTAGTGGCGAGGCTAGGACCAGACTACCAAATAAACCTGTGCAATATAGCGTACAAAAATAATAGGAAGCAGATAACAATGATGGGAACAATGATCAACCAGTGATATAAATAGCAGGCAACAAGAATACCATAAATGCTTCTCAAAAAATAATAAATACAAGTGCAATCAATTAATCAAGTTCTTCAATATAAAGCTTTCGTCTATAAATCCTTCAAGTAATAATCTCTAAGATAATATGCTTTTCAATAAATATATTTCGAATATATTTCCTTCAAATAAGTATCTTTCAAATAAGCATCCTTCGAATATAATTCTTTCGAGTAAAGGTCACCTTATGATGCCTCATTCATAATCATAAATAATAATATAGGTCTCAGCCCACTTTCATATTTTCATGGCACCACGTGCCCAC